AGGCGGACTGACCATTTGGAAACTCGGGCACTGCCCGAGGGCCGGGGGTCAGTAGGGGGCCCTATGAGATTCCCCTGGTACCTTTTTCATAGGCTTTTTTTAGTTTGGGCAAGGACACAGAGGGCCCCATGGTCCCCTATTGCCGGGGGCCCCATGAGTAGTCAGTCCGCCCCTGGTCTGGTGATCCTGGAGGTTGAAGGCTGGCTATATTCTTGTCTGGAGTGGGAGAAATCCAGGAATATTTGGTGATTGGAGGCATACTGACTGGGTCTGGGATCCCAAAAAAAACCCTAAAAAGGTGTTTTTTTTCACCAATATCTGGTGAGTGCCGTGAGCACTATTTTGGTGGAAGCACGGTATAAAGTTTCTTTGGGAAGTGGACTTTCATGAATATATTTTTTTATATTTTTATTTTTTAATTTTACATATTTTTTGTCACTATCGATTTGGAGTGGGACTTTTATTTATAGTTTTATTATTATTATTTTTTTATTTTTTGTTACAGTGTGTTTTTATGTATTTACTTATTTTTATATATTTGCGTTGTTTTGATGTTTTATGTATTTTTTTGGCGTTTACACTAATGAGCAGCAGCATTTATTTATTTGGGATATCATTTTCACGAATTTTTGGCGCTGGTGATTTGTGTTTAAAATACCCCAAGATGTGCTTCCGGAATGAGTCTCTTTGAAGACAATCCATTCTTAAAAGAACATCGCAGTTTATTGATGAATGAAATTAGAATTAAAATGCGCTTGCTTTGGCAGCACATATACTAACATTGGAACGATACAGAGAAGATTAGCATGGTCCCTGCGCCAGGATGACACGCAAATTCGTGAAGCGTTCCATATTTAAAAAAAAAAAATTAGAATTAAGATGCAATGCCTCTCTACATCAGTGTTTCTCAGCCTTCTTTCAGCCAAGGCACCCTTTAAATTTTCAGACAGTCCCAAGGCACCCCTTAAAATTATGGACAGTCCCGAGGCACCCCTTAAAATTATGGACAGTCCCGAGGCAACCCATTCTAAAATGGGGTGCCTCAAGACTGTCCATCATTTTAAAAGGGCACCCCATTCTAAAATGTGAAAAAACTATTCTAACAGCAACATCCACACATGTAGGACACCCAACATTAGAGGTGATTTATTCTTCCAAAGCAAATACACTTTTGCACACTGGTACTGACTAGTATTCTATTGTTTCTCTTCTCCCTCAGTTTTTTTCTCCATCACTGAGCTAATGTGACCCCAGCACTGATGGAGAGGGGCGGGGGAGGGTCAAACTAGCATGCTGTGCAGGCAGCTGACATCCTCCTTATCAACTGATGATGTCATTGGTTGTCAGGACACCGGCGGCTAGAAGGTCGTAGTGGTGCACAATGAAAACGTGGCTTTCTGTAACTAAAAGGCAGGCTTGTTCCACCCGCTGGTTTGTATACAAGTTTTGGGCAATGTTTAGACATTTTGCCAAGGCACCCCTGAAGAAGCCTCAAGGCACCCCTGAAGAAGCCTCAAGGCACCCCTGAAGAAGCCTCAAGGCACCCCTGAAGAAGCCTCAAGACACCCCTGAAGAAACCTCAAGGCACCCCTGAAGAAGCCTCAAGGCACTCCAGGGTGCCTGGGCACCCTGGTTGAGAAAGGCTACTCTACATAAACGTCATATGGGTGGCCATATGGGGGGGGGGGTACTTCAATATACACAACTAGAGCAACCATCCAGGAAATAGTCCGGCGGATTACAGCGGCGGTGTACTGAAGGGTGGCACAAAAGACTGCAAGGCGGTGTGTTCCCTGTGCTCTCTGAGGGGTGATAAAGATGGACTATGCAGGCTGACTCCGCTGTAACTGGAATCCCTTTCAATAGACCGCTCCTCACCAAAGGTGGCGGGTAGGGTTGTGATGTCATCGGCCCTCGAGACGAGCGCCGCTGGCCAGGGACCAGACCTCGGGTGGTGCACAAGCTAGAATCCTCCAGGTGGAGCCCGATCTGTCACCATGACAGTGGAGTCAGCGTAACAGTGGAGTCAGCCGGCATAGTCCATCGTTAGTGCCCCACAGAGACCACCATTGGTATACAGAGATCGTTCCCTCTATACAGAGCCCTGTGTTGTTTGTCAACACAGGGCTCTGTGCTGGGATTGAACACAGCTGATCAGCAGGTTCTGGCCATGAATCATTGGCTGGTACCTGCTAACTAATGCTGGCCATAGACGGGTCGAAAACCATCCGTTTTTAAAAAAAAAAAAAAATCAGTCGTTCAATAGGCCGACGTTACCACCAACGGTAAAAAAAAAAATCGGCCGATTTTCATTCCGTCTACGGCCGGCATTTAATTACTTCTGTCCCTGCAGAGAGCTCCGCTATTATATTTGACATGAAAAAGTATTGCGGTTGCAACATTGTATCCATTTGTATCCATTTCGGATACAGATGTTTTTATTCAGATACAAATAGATACATTGTTGCAACCGCAAGACTTTTGCATGTCAAATATAAAAGCGGACTGGAATTCTTCTTCTTCTTCTTCTTTTTTCTCTTATTTTTCTCTTCTTCTTTTTTTTCTTCTTATTCTTTTTCTTTTTCTTCTTTTTCTTTTTTTTTTGTCTTTTTCTTCTTCTTTTCTTTTTCTTCTTCTTGCAGGCCACGGCTCATGCGCAGATTTTTTATCGGTAAAAAGATCGGCCGATTTGCCCATCATTGCCGGGAAAATCGGGCGATCGGCAAAATCGGACGATTTTTTCCAACTTCACCAATAAAAAAAAGTGCCAAAACCCCGAGAAATGGCCGACCAATTAACAAATTAACGGTGCGAATATCAGCCGATTTATTTTTTTGGCTGAAAAATCAGCCGATTTTTGAACCTCTATGGCCTGTATTAGTCCCACTGTGTCCAGAACCAGAGGGGGCGCACGCCCTGAACCGGGAAGAAAGCTGAGAACTGCAGGTACATTATGGAACTGCAGTGGGTCGGTAAGAGGTTGAACTTTAACCTTCCAAAGGCTGCATTTACCCCCCTCCCTCGTTGCCCCCCCCCCCATGGGGGGTGATTGGTTTTCTCCACCAATAATTATATTGTCATCCTGTCAAAAAAAAAACTGATTTCTTTCCATCATTTATTAATTAATTTGCAGTTATTACAACTGCTGTGACACCTTCTTCTCCCTGATCCCTTCCATACGTCTCATGATACATGAATAATCCACACACTGGGAGGAAAGTGTGGTGCAAGTGCGCCAGTCTGTGCTGCCGATTCCAAATCCAATGGAAGACCTGTGTGCATGTGCTGCCTCCTCATGGCAACATTCAGGAACTGCACCTGTATTAGGAATGTGCTTGAATACTAAGCGATTCTAAAGATTTTTTTTTTTAAATAACAAGGATGTCTATACTTACTTGCTGTGCTCAGTGGTTTTGCTCACAGTAGCCTGGATCCTCCTCTTCTCGGGTCCCCCGCCGGTGCTCCTAGCCCCTCCCTTCCATCAGGTGTCCCCACAGCAAGCAGCTTGCTATGGGGGCACCCGCAGCTTCATGTGTCCATTCACACCCATGGGCGGACTGACCATTCGAGCACTCGGGCACTGCCTGAAGGCCCGGGGTCAGTATGGGGCCTCATGAGATGCCCCTGGTACCTTTTATAGGCTTTTTTGGGTGTGGTTTGAGTGTGGGCGAAGACACAGGGGCCCCATGGTCCCCTCTTGCCTGGGGACCCCATGAGTTGTCAGTCTGCCCCTATTCACACCTGGAGCCGCAACTTGGCCCCGCCCCCTCTCTCTTCTTATTGGCTGTGATTGACTTTCATTGGCTCCCACTGCTGTCTCAGCCAATGAGAAGAAGGAGTCCCGGGATAGCCGAGATTCCAGTGCACATTGGTGGATTGACGGGGGGCTTAGGGGGCTAGGGGGGATGCTGCACAGAGAAGGTTTTTTACCTTCATGAATAGAATGTATGAAGGTAAAAAACCTTCAGCCTTTACACCACTTTTAGCTTTTGCAGCTGACCTCCAGACACAAAAACTTTCATTTAAATATATTCCTGAATAGCCAAAAAGGTTATAAATCCATTTGGTGTGCACTAGGTCTTTGCAAATCCAGATAGTACCTTGTAAAAGCAGCAGTGACATCATTGCTGTGTTGCACATAGCCTGAGCAGAGAGCAGAGCTGTGGGAGGGGCCCAACCTACTGCAGAAAACTACAGGAGGAGGCGGAGACCAGACCAGACACATTGCTCAAGCAGAGAGAGCAGCAGTGAACGGTCTTTATTACAGGAATGAAAAGTCTCACACTGGATTACTGCACAGATCTGGTAAAGATACAAAAAGCTCACTAAGATTCAAGAAGAATACAGATTTATTTAGATGATATTTAGCTATCCTGGAGTTCAGCTTCAATATGAAGGTTGGGCAGATGTGAATATCACTGTGGAAGGCAATGAGGGCAATTTTTATTTCCTGCACCAAAATACCATGTGCGGTTCTTGGCTGTGTTCACAAATGTCTGACACAGATTAGCCCCTGTTGGGTCACCATCTACTTGCTAGACTAAAATCTATTGTGTAGCATAGCCTTTCTCAACCTTTTTACCCAGGAGGAACCCTTGAAACATTTTTCAGGTCTTGGGGAACCCCTGTTAAAAGAGGTAAATTGAAATAATGCCCCTTACAATGAAGAACACTCCCTTTACATTGGTGGTCAGAATGCCACCCTTGCAGACAGCTAAAAAAAAACATCATTGGTGTCATGCCAATGGTTCTGCCAAGTGGGTTTGGACCCGAAACTATGTAGGCATCTTTAGTTGGGAGGTCAATAAGCGACAGGCCAAAGACTCCCCTAGCAACCTCTGGAGGAACCCAAGTTGAGAATGGCTGCTCTAGGACAGTGTTTTTTAAAATTTTCAGTCAAGGCACCCATTAAATCTATGGACAGTCCTGAGGTACCCTTTAAAGTTATGGACAGTCCAGAGGCACCCTTTAAAATTATGGACAGCCCTGAGGCACCCTTTAAAATTATGGACAGCCCTGAGGCACCCTTTAAAATTATGGACAGCCCTGAGGCACCTATTAAAATTATGGACAGCCCTGAGGCACCCTTTAAAATTATGGACAGTCCCGAGGCACCCTTTAAAATTATGGACAGCTCTGAGGCACCCTTTAAAATTATGGACAGCCCTGAGGAACCCTTTAAAATTATGGACAGCCCTGAGGCACCCTTTAAAATTATGGACAGCTCTGAGGAACCCTTTAAAATTATGGACAACTCTGAGGAACCCTTTAAAATTATGGACAGCCCTGAGGTGCCCTTTAAAATTATGGACAGTCCAGAGGCACCCTTTAAAATGATGGACAGTCCTAAGGAACCCTTAAAAATTATGGACAGCTCTGAGGCACCCTTAAAAATTGTGGACAGCCCTGAGGCACCTTTTAAAATTATGGACAGTCCTGAGGCACCCTTTAAAATTATGGACAGTCCAGAGGCACCCTCTAAAATTATGGACAGTCCAGAGGCACCCTTTAAAATTATGGACAGTCCTGAGGCACCCTTTAAAATTATGGACAGTCCAGAGGCACCCTTTAAAATTATGGACAGTCCAGAGGTACCTTTTAAAATTGTGGACAGCCCTGAGGCACCCTTTAAAATTATGGACAGCCCTGAGCAAGGGCGGACTGGCAACTCATGTGTCCTTGCCCAAACTCAAAAAAGCCTATGGAAAAGGTACCAGGGGCATCTTATGGGGCCCCCTACTGACCCTGGGTCCTGGGGCAGTGCCCGAGTTTCCAAATGATCAGTCCGCCCCTGGCCCTGAGGCACCCTTTAAAATTATGGACAGTCCACAGGCACCCTTTAAAATTATGGAAAGCCCTGAGGCACCCTTTAAAATTGTGGACAGTCTTGAGGCACCCCAATCTAAAATGGGGTGCCTCAAGACTGTCCATCATTTTAAAAGGGCACCCCATTCTAAAATTTGAAACACTATTCTAATAGTTTTATATAACGCAGCAACATCCACACATGTGGGCACCCAACATTAGAGGTGATTTGTTCTTCCAAAGCAAATACACATTTGCACACTGGTAATGACTAGTATTCCAGTGTTTCTCCTCTCCCTTAGTTTTTCTCCATCACTGAGCTAATGTGACCCCGGCACTGATGGAGAGGGGCGGGGGAGGGTCAAACTGGGATGCTGTGCAGGCAGCTGACATCCTCCTTATCAACTGATGATGTCATTGGTTGTCAGGACACCGGCGACTAGAAGGTCGTAATGGAGCAAAATGAAAACCTGTGGCTTTGTGTAACTAAAAGGCAAGCTTGTTCCACCCGTTGGCTTGTATACAAGTTTTGGGCAATTTTTAGACATTTTGGTAAGGCACCCCTGAAGAATCCTCAAGGCACCCATGAAGAAACCTCAAGGCACCCCTGAAGAATCCTCAAGGCACCCCTGAAGAATCCTCATGGTGCCCCTGAAGAAACCTCAAGGCACCCCTGCAGAATCTTCAAGGCACCTCTGAAGAAACCTCAAGGCACCCCTGAAGAATCCTCAAGGCACCCCTGAAGAATCCTCAAGGCACCCCTGAAGAATCTTCAAGGCACCCCTGAAGAAACCTCAAGGCACCCCAGAAGAAACCTCAAGGCACCCCTGAAGAAACCTCAAGGCACCCCTGAAGAATCCTCAAGGCACCCCTGAAGAAACCTCAAAGCACCTCTGAAGAATCCTCAAGGCACCCCTGAAGAATCCTCAAGGCACCCTGGTTGAGGAAGGCTACTCTAGGAAATGTGTGGTTCCCTAACCCCTTGGTATGGCTTCAAGCTGGGTAGGTCTAGTCAGTAAAACTCTGACTGATGACACCTTTCGTGTATTTTCATTTGAGCAATAAAGACATAAAACATGAAAAAAAATTAAACTTCACTATTACAAGCGGTTGAGTGACAGTGGAGGAAGCACACATGTCCTGGTACATCCAGCCATGACGTACACATCAAGGATCATGGCCTCCCGTCATCCATCACATCTTCTATTCCTCGGTGACAACATTTTTATTCCATTCTGCTCTGAGGATCCCCATCCTGGTAGCAGGGAGATACAGCTAATGATGAGCTCGAAAAGCGCGACTTCTGTTCTGGAGATGGCGGTGACTCATTATCACACTTCATCTGTCATCTCTGCCCGCAGCCAGGAATTCTTACATGTACTGGGCTTCAAAGAGAAACTTGCCTGACTCTGGGACTGTAATTAGTGAAATACATACAAATGAGATTCTCCCGACTCATCCTGGAGAAAGATCGCCGCCGAGCAGGACATGAAAAGTCGCCGGCGGACCAGAAATCGGAATAATTGGCGGGCTCAATTACAGTCATTTCGTTTCCAGTTATGTAATCTTTCTTTATTCTTCCCAGTGTATGGCACAATCAATGACTCAATCTCAAGACAGTGTAGAAATACCTCCCCAGTGGAAGTCTCTAGGGAAGCCATGGCGCAAAACCAGAGGCAGCCAAATTCTACGGATACCAAAGAACCCCACCCTGCCCCTTGCACCCTCAGTAGCCATGGCAGACCAATACAAGAAACAGTTACATAAATGGAAAACCTTAAAGGTTCTTGAAGACAACAAGCTTTGGAACCAAGCACTGAAGGGTCCCTTACACATGGAGCCGTCTGGGAGCAGTGCGTCCCTCCTGGCGGGACAACGTCCAGTCCCACTGCCGGCCGCTTGTCAGGGTCTATGGTCCTGCAGTGCATTGGGGCTAGCTGCAGACAGAGGTAGATGTTTGAGCCTGGGTGTGGTAAGTGGCACAGCAGTACAAATCCTCAGATTCTTGCCACAGGAATCCACCATACCAGTTAGTGTCCCTGATCACCGCCACACCATTTACAGTGTCCCTGATCACCGCCACACTAGTTACAGTGTTCCTGACCCCCGGCACACCAGTTACAGTGTCCTCGATCACCGCCACACCAGTTACAGTGTCCCTGATCACCATCACACCAGTTACAGTGTTCCTGATCACCGCCACACCAGTTACAGTGTTCCTGATCACTGCCAAACCAGTTACAGTGTCCCTGATCACCATCACACCAGTTACAGTGTTCCTGATCACCTCCACACCAGTTACAGTGTCCCTGATCACCATCACACCAGTTACAGTGTTCCTGATCACCTCCACACCAGTTACAGTGTCCTGATCACCTCCACACCAGTTACAGTGTCCCTGATCACCATCACACCAGTTACAGTGTTCCTGATCACCTCCACACCAGTTACAGTGTCCTGATCACCTCCACACCAGTTACAGTGTCCCTGATCACCATCACACCAGTTACAGTGTCCCTGATCACCATCACACCAGTTACAGTGTTCCTGATCACCGCCACACCAGTTACAGTGTTCCTGATCACCGCCACACCAATTACAATGTTCCCGATCACTGCCAAACCAGTTACAGTGTTCCAGATCATGTCACACCAGTTACAGTGTCCCTGATCACCGCCACACCAGTTACAGTGTCCCCAATCACCGCCACACCAGTTACAGTGTCCCTGATCACCGCCACACCAGTTACAGTGTCCCTGATCACTGCCACACCAGTTACAGTGTCCTCGATCACCCGCCACACCAGTTACAGTGTCCCCGATCACCGCCACACCAGTTACAGTGTCCCTGATCACCATCACACCAGTTACAGTGTCTCTGATCACTGCCACACCAGTTACAGTGTCCCTGATCACCATCACACCAGTTACAGTGTCCCTGATCACCGCCACACCAGTTACAGTGTTCTCGATCACCGCCACACCAGTTACAGTGTTCCTGATCACCGTAACACCAGTTAAAGTGTTCCCGGTCACTGTCAAACCAGTTACAATGTTCCTGATCACCACCACACCAATTACAGTGTTCCTGATGAATGCCAAACCAGTTACAGTGTCCCCAATCACCGCCACACCAGTTACAGTGTTCCTGATCATCATCCACACCAGTTACAGTGATCCCAATCACCACCAAACCAGTTAAAGTATTCCAGATCATGTCACACTAGTTACAGTGTTCCTGATCACTGCCACACCAATTACAGTGTTCCCGATCACTGCCAAAACCAGTTACAGTGTTCCCTGTTCCAGATCATGTCACACTAGTTACAGTGTTCCTGATCACTGCCACACCAATTACAGTGTTCCCGATCACTGCCAAAACCAGTTACAGTGTTCCAGATCATGTCACACCAGTTACAGTGTTCCTGATCACCGCCACACCAGTTACAGTGTTCCCAATCACCATCAAACCAGTAACAGTGTGCCCAATCACCATCAAACCAGTAACAGTGTGCCCAATCACCATGAAACCGGTTACAGTGTTCGCAATTACCATCACACCAACTACAGTGTTCCTGATCACCGCCACACCACTTACAGTGTTTCCAATCACCGTCAAACCAGTTACAGTGTTCTTGAATAGCGCCACACCAGTTACAGTGTTCCCAATCACCATCAAACCAGTTACAGTGTTCGCAATCACCATCACACCAACTACAATGTTCCTGATCACCACCACACCACTTACAGTGTTCCCAATCACCGTCAAACCAGTTGCAGTGTTCCTGAATAGCGCCACACCAGTTACAGTGTCCCCAATCACCACCACACACCACTTACAGTGTTTCTGATCACCACCACACCACTTACAGTGTTTCTGATCACCGCCACACCAGTTACAGTGTCCCCAATCACCGCACACACCACTTACAGTGTCCCCAATCACCGCCACACCAGTTACAGTGTTATCGATCACCGCCACACCAGATAAAGTGTCCCCGATCACCACCACACCAGTTACAGTGTCCTCGATCACCACCACACCAGTTAGTGTCCTCGATCACCACCACACCAGTTACAGTGTCCACAATCACCACTACACCAGTTACAGTGTCCCTGACCACTGCCACACCAGTTTGTGTCCCTGACCACTGCCACACCAGTTTGTGTCCCTGACCACTGCCACAGTGGTCACAGTGACACCATAAGGACTTGTTCCCATGTGCGATGCTCTCTGATGACCCATCCATATTCAGATCACTCTTCAGAGAGCACTTAACAGTGTTCCTGAATAGCGCCACACCAGTTACAGTGTTCCCAATCACCATTAAAACAAGTTACAGTGTTCGCAATCACCATCACACCAGTAACAGTGTCCTCGATCACCACCACACCAGTTAGTGTCCCCGATCACCGCCACAGCAGTTAGTTGTGTCCCTGATCACTTCAGAGAGCACTTAACAAGTAGTGAAGATACATATTTTGGATCCTGTACAAGCAACCCCATTCACGTGAATAGGTCACGATCAGTGGGAGTACAGGGGGTTTCATTCCTGCCACAGCTGCGAAGCAAAGCATAAACAGCCATGGCATGTAATAACCCTGGCCTGTTTATTGACCATGTTTCTGCCTGTTGCCTGGCCCAATCCTTTGCCTGTTTGCTGACCACGTCTTTGCCTGCAGCCTGAACTGACCCATCTGCATGTCCAACTGACTATGCTCCTGCAGGAAACCAGTCCCAGCAATCCACTGCGGACAGCTGCACTCCTGGAACCACAGGAACTCTTTTTTCTTCCTTTCTTCAGCCTCCTTTACTTCTTGGTCAGTAAACATAACATTCCTGGGGGCAGCCATGTACCAGTAGGCTGTGATACAATTGGCTGATTTGTGTTATATACAGGATACAATGTCCAGTACATAAACAGCCCAGACATTAAAACATCTCATACATGTGGTGTCATCATACTCAGGAGGAGTAGCAGAATGTGTTTTTTGGTGTAACTCTAAGTATGCCCATGATATGTGTGAGAAATATCCTATTAACCACTTCCCATCCGGCCCATGTATATAAACAGTCGGACAGTGGCAGTGCAGGGTCGGGTGGCCGTTTATAAACGGCTTTCCCGGCCCCCTGCTTGTGCGCGCTCCCTGTCCTCC